TTGTCCCCAACGATGAGTGAACGATCTGTGGGGCCGACAAGTTTTATGTGCGCGTATAACTATAATGTATAAGCGCAATGAATAACAATTCAACACACAGTAAATTGTCGTGATAAGGACTCCCCCTACATTATATAACGTAATGATATGCAGTTATTACAGAGTGTATAGTGCTTATTATTATGGGGGCCCAATGGCAATGTAATTGCTCGACTTTTCATCAGGTCTCTCGAGGCCTTTTGTTTGGTTATTTGGGTGTATTGGTGTCCCCTGATTGTTATCATCGCTGTACACTTGTCAAGGCATTTTTTGGTTTCTCTAGTCCATTTTTAGAAATTCTATACAACATTGATATTGTAATAAATTCTGATGATAATAATTGAAAGATTTCAATAAAAAAAAATGATTCTTTATGATCAATAGTTTGTGAGTTCGTTGAATTCTTTAGGTAGAATTGATACGAGTGTTTATAACTTGGACATAAATCCTGGGCCAAGATAAGTATGGTTAATATAAGATTATATACTCATTAATCATTATATATTACATAACATTAAAATATACAACACTTATTATGAAGGTAGCTGAGACATGTAGTAAAGTGTATCGATATTCTTGAAAGGAATTCAATGTATCGGTATAACTGTGATTGAAATAAGTTAACCCGACTATTGACATGTATTCCATTTCTAGGTAGTATAATTTCCGAGAGCCTTAGAATACCACATTATTTCAGCACAAAAATTATCACCACCAAAATAAAGAGTTCCCTTGTGACACTTGCCACAAGGTGTACCTTACGAAAGTGGCACGCAATCGCGAACCCTTGACTGCCCGTTTTGTGACTTCCGATCCAAACGAGGTGCCCACTTTATTCTAAAAGTGGGCACCTCGTTTAATACTCACTATAATAAGTACTATACACTCGCTAGTAATTACATATCAATTATCATTACGTTATATAATGTAAAAGGAGTCCTTATTATCTCACGACAATTTACTGTGTGTTGAATTGTTATTCATTGCGCTTATTATAGTTATACGCGCGCATAAAACTTGTCCCCACAGATCGTTTGGGAAAATATGTTACATTAACGGTTTAGATATTGTCACGCTTCCACGCTGGTAATATTGATTTGCTGATTCCTTTATTATTCTTCCTTGTTAGATAATACTGTTATCAGATAGTCATTGATGACAAGATTCTTTATGTAAGGAGATTTCTGCATAGACACGTGGTCATCAGATTGTAGGCTTTATTGTGTTATTTGAGGCGGGTTCTACTTAGCGGTGTAATTACTCAATAATGATTCAAATCTAATCGTTTATATATAGCCATACTGATGAGTCCTAATAGGACGAAACATTGTGTCTATGGATAAATAAAAGCCTAATGATACAGCTCTAAAACTTTAACCATTGCAATGCACGTGCACGAGACGTGGAAGCCTGTGAGCGTGAAGACCGCTCTTCTATCGTTGTTTTGAGTGTCCGATCCAAGACCAAATTCTAGGGTACACGAGACGTGGAAGCTTTTGAGTGGTTAGAGTCTGTTAAGTGTTAGAGTCCTAGGGTTACACGAGACGTGGTAGCCTGTGACCGTGTTAAATCCTAGGGTTACACGAGACGTGGTAGCCTGTGAGCCTCACAGGCTACCACGTCTTGTGTAACCCTAGGATTTAACACGCTCACAGTGTGAGCGTGTTAAATCCTGGGGGTACACGAGACGTGGTAGTCTGTGAGCGTGTTAAATCCTGGGGTTACACGAGACGTGGTAGTCTGTGAGCGTGTTAAATCCTGGGGTTACACGAGACGTGGTAGCCTACGTGCGCGTGTAGACCACTCCTCTATCGTTGTTTTGAGTGTCCGATCCAAGATCAAATCCTAGGGTACACGAGACGTGGAAGCCTGTGAGCGTGTTAGAGTCTATTAAGTGTTTGAGTCTTAGGGTTACACGAGACTTGGTAGCCTGTGAGCGTGTAGACCGCTCCTCTATCGTTGTTTTGTGTGTCCGATCCAAAACCAAATCCTGGGCCGGGGTTACACGTTATGTGGGAGCCTGTGAGCCTGTTAGTTTCCTGCGGAAGGTGTTATTTGCCTGTGGGAAAAGCGGTTATGCTGCGGTTCTAAGGTTAGTAGAGGCTATTAGAGCCTTTCCTTTGTTGTAGAGATGGCTAGTCCCTCCCTTTGCATAGGTTAGAAACACCCATGCACCTCCCGTTCGAGCCACCCAGCCCACACCGCGTGGAGGTTCGGTGAGGTTTTTCGTGGGGCTATAATGGAGGTCACATGAACAACACCAAGCATCCATTGATATGTTATGAAATCGACACGTGTTACCCAGAAGTCCTGCATGTCAGATTGAAGGCCTCTCATTGGACAATGAACTACTTTGAAGGTGTGAAAAATCAGTTTTTCGGTATTTTCGTCCACTTAATTAACTCAAAATTTCAAATTTTTGGTCGCAAACGGTAAGTATCACCGTGATCTTGAGCCGTGCTGTAAGTAAATTATAAAACTGCTGACAAAACTCGTGCCTTCGGCACTCTTTAGGCACTCGTTAGGTTCTAAAATAATCTTTACATTGATACAACGCAAGGCGTAGTGAATTCTTGAAATGTACGTTTTGCTTTTACTCCAACTCGTTCCTAGCTTTTCTCATACAGCAGATCAATCATTGACCTCTGTTCGCACAGCATATCAACTAGTGACTGCTCCTCGCACAGCATATCAACCAGTGACTGCTCCTCGCACAGCATATCAACCAGTGACTGCTATTGATGATTAGGGAATGAAATAGGTCATAGGTACCACAGTGCTCTACAAACTTATTGTGAGTTAGAAGCTATGCGTAATGCTAAGTGGTAAATCTATACAATCCCCCATGCAGAGTGCTCAAGCTTAGTAATAGTAATCTAAACGAGCAATAAGAGCAAATATATATAAATATTCAGGAATATTTTTAATCACCATATTATGATGAAGACTCTCGCTGCTTTCGAGTCATCATGATTAGCATAATCAACTCAAGTCTGACATTGGTGTCCAGTTTGACTTTGATCTTTAAACTGAGCGAGAGCCGTTTGACCATTGACCATTGGCATTACGTTGTTACTGTTATTGTTAATTTTATTAGCAGAATTCCGCGGATTTAAAATAAATGCAAAATCTGAGATGGGTCGGTCATTCCAAATTTAGTTTTCACAATACAATCTCTCACAAAATCGTCCACTGATTCATTTTTCTCTTTTCGCCAGTTCTCAGGCATGCCGGCATAGGCCAGCTCTTGATTTGGTCTTTATTTGTTTCGTTAATTCGCTGATCGTCAATCTTAGTTATACTCATATCTAAGAATTAAGGTACAAACAGGTACAAACACGAGAATTTTGTAAAACGTACGTTAAACGTATTGTTACACTTATTGGGGTTCACGATTATTATAGACTTCTCTCAGTGGTCAACAATTTGTAATCTGTAGAGGTGATAATAACAGCAAGGAGAGCTTTGTGCCAAAGTGTTGTACTTGTAGTGTATAACTATTAACTATAACTGCAGTTTTCCGTTTTTTACAGATACAATATTCGTTTAGAGAATTGTACAAAGTGCTCGACTACGAGTAGGAGCGGTATACAGATATTGTGGTTCTTTTTCGATAGTCTAAATGCGATAGCTAGCGCTCACTATCGCTCACTATCGCTCACTATCGCTCACTATCGCTGATTGATTGCTAGTCAACACTAGCTATCGCAAACTAAAAATTTTCGATAACTATAGCCCTAACTATAAACGCAAAATATCAAAATCACGGTGGCGACAGGCATGACAACCATCTCGCGTGAGTGTGGGTTCTAGCCTACTCAACTCTCTAATTGAAAAGGGTCTCTGGGAGAACTACAAATGAAGTCTTATTTTACATAATGTAGTGGACCTGCCGGTTGCAACATTGTTAATTATGTTTGAGTGTCTTCATCCGCAGTGGCAATGTTTTATTATTTTGTTTTAGGTGTGTTCTTCAATCACTTACAATTGTTTTTGATTGCTGGATGATTTTGTATGCAGGCTTCAATGCGGGTTCATACTATTGCGCTTTTTCAATTGCGACCTTGGAAACTAGTCTATCTACACTAATAATCCTAATAAATGTGTGAGTGTGTGTCTGTGGGTAATTTAACAACGGTTTATTCAAGAAAAAGGTGAGTTATGGGACTGGTTTTTTCGGTATAATGACGAAAAAACTCTGACAAAGCCAAATGATTAAGGTTTTTATGAAATGGACATTCGAAAAGTTGTTTAATCGATGGTTTTGTATATCATTTGTGATATAATAGCTTGTAATTGTCTTGCGGCGGGTTCTATCTGATATACGAGGTCTAAATACGATCATTGTTACACTAAGTGTGTCCCTTAATTGTGGCTTTTTGTAATATAATGTTACATATTAAAGAGAGGAAGCAATTACCAATTAGAACAATGACTGATGACATGTTTTATTCATTGCAAGCGGAGAGTTCCTGCTATGTTGTGGCAATTAAACTCCCCGGGAACCATTGTGTAAGTCATTAGGAACGCCATGGACAATACCGAATATCCTTTGACAGAAGGTCGAGACGACCGCACCGACCTTGATAGTGAAAGAGTTTGTAATTGTCCTTTTTTTAATTTCTAGAACACACTCTACGATGAAGTCGAGCAAGGCACAGTGATTTCTTGTCATATTCTTTTTGATTTTGCTCCAACTTGTTTCTGCCTTATCCGTGTCTTAGGTGTCTCCCAAGTATGTCTACAGATTTTTCGAATTTTGTTTGCAAGGATTTGAGTCAAAATGTTTAACGAAAAATGTATCTTTCAGGATGTTAAAAATACATTTTAAAAAGAAATGTCCGGTTGAATATTCGGCCAAATTCTTGGAAACCGGAACTGGATATTAAAGCCAGATATCCGGCCGGAACGAGATTCACGGTTCGTATCGGTATACCGTACGATTATATTTCTTCCCGTAATTTTGTTCTACGAGATTACTAAAGTTGATGAGAATCAAAGCAGGCTTCTTTTTCAATGATACGAGGCGTATCGTTATTATTATCTGCAATCTGCAGTTTAACGCTGGTCCTTAATCATGGGGTAAGAACTGAGGACACAGCAGAAGAAGCAATTGTACAAGAGCACCAGGGTGAGTCACTTTCTAAAAGCTACTTTAACATTATGTATTATTCAATATACAGTTATTCAATATACAGTTATCTTTTCTATAGAGCCAAATATTCATTCTCAATTAAATCTTAATGACACAGCTCACCTTTTGTCCTTTATTATAACTAGCAGGAACCCGTCTAACCCTAAAGTGGTGTCACAAGACTGATGACTCAAGAGACTTAAATAATTATTACCTATTTAACTCGCGTTTTTGACACCACTTGTGGGTCCAAATTTTGGGCACTAAAATTATTATTTCTTGGCCAATTTTTTTATTTTCAGTTTTATATCTTTTACGGTTTTTGCGGAACGTCGTGTTAAAGTTGATGCCTTAGTCTGTCCTGGGCACATTGCTCAAAATTCCCTACGTCAACTTGCTCTATAATAGAAACATTAATTTCCTTACTTAAAGTACTGGTAAACAACTTAGTGGTGGTACGGTCAAGATTGTGCAAAATCTCATTATCTATGAAATGGTAGGAAAATTCACAAGTCCTTCTTTGAGTTTTAATGTGGGATTTATGGTTCCTTAATCTAACTTTTAGAGAGTCTGAAGTACATCCTATATAACTTAACTTACAATTAATATCATTAACTATGTAAACAATATTTTTGGTATCACAGTCTAATCGTCCTTTGATACTGAATACTTGGTTGGTGTGGAAACTGCCGATTGTGGTTGATGGTTTCAGGAAGTTTTTGCAGAGATCACATTTCTTAGCACAAGGGAAGCAACCTCCAGAATCAGAATCCTCAGCTGTGTCTGGAGAGGCGTGGCCTGGATCTTCTACAGCTGGCTCTTCAACAGGAGGGAGTTTGCTATGCATAAGAATCTCCTGAAATGTTTTTGTCCCTCTAAAAGAGGTGAAAATACCATCAGGGTCAATCACCTTGCAAAGCTTGAGATCTAGACGAAGGATGTGCTTGTGAGAGTTTAGAATCCGTCCTATGTTGGGGAGACCTGGGTTGAAATCTGTTACAAGGGGAATGAGTCTCCCTTTGCTACTGTCATCCTCCTTCTGTCTCCGTTGTTGATAATAGGAGAGCCTGCTCTTGGTTTACACTTTATCAAAGGCCTGGTTAATTAAGCTTGTGCTATAGCCTCTTGACTCAAGATAGCTAATGTATTGTGTTCGTGCTTGTATATACTCATCATGCTCAGAAGTCAGTTTGAAAATTCTAAGTGCAGTGCTATAAGGTATGTTTTTTATGGTATATATAGGATGGCAAGAGGTGGGAACTAAAGAAGCCTTCAACGTGAATTTGATGCCTGGCATTCTAGAATTGAGCCATAAGTGGAATTCCTCGAGCATTTCCTGTCCATGGGTCCAATGGACATACACATCATCGCGGTATCTGGCCCATAGGAGAGGGGGTGGCTCCAAGTTCCTTCCATAACATCTCTGTCTATCTTGTCGATGGCTGTATTCGCATTAGCACAAGCGTTCTTTGGTCCCATTGCAGTTCCTTTTTTCTGCTTGTATATGACACCTTCAAACTCTGTTAGGTTGTTGTCTAGAGTTGTCTCTAAGGCATCTATTATACAATCTGTAGAGAGTATTGGGTCCTCTCTCTTGTCTAAATGGAGCCTACATTGTTTTAATCCCACCGCCTTTTGGATACTCGGGAACATAGCTTCTATGTCAAAGGATGCATGAATAACTGTCTTGCCCTCAAGGGATTTAGAGTTATTTAAGTCATCGAGTATTCTTAGTGTATATGATTATTATCCTGGATGGCATATTTTAGATCAACCTTAGTAAGCTCGTATGCTGTAAGTGCAGAGAGATTCTTATCTTGATTGCTGATGCGCATCCTGTGCTAATCATACGGCCAGGGTAGTTCTTCTCTGGCTTGTGTGCTTTAGGGTTGACATAGTTGTTCCCGGGCTTACAAAAGTCATCAGGTGTAACCCATTTGTAGACCTTTTCCGTTAAACCAGGCTCTTCATGATACTTTGCTATCCAATCTGATATTGCTAGCTTTGTAGCATGCTCGGCTTCTTCTTTCTGAACAGTGTCAAAGGTTTCTGCATCTAGGTGTTCTTTAACCCTCTTGATGTAGTCTTCTCGGTCCAAAAAGAAGTATTGTGAACCTTTGTCAGCTGGTCTGATGACAATATCTTTCCACTTTGCCATATCTGATAAGGCTTTTCTGGATTCTACTGGGATATTGTCAGGAAGCTTAGATCTGGTAGAGCTGTTTGTTTGTAACAGGTCTTTTGTTACTCTCTCTATGTAAAGCTCTAAACAGTGGTTATTGCATACTTTTAAAGGCTTGGTTTCATCAGACTTAATGAGGGTTCTTTCCATACTTTTTATCGATGCAATGGTCGGAGGTGTTGCTTTTGGCTGGGGTTGTGTGGGGTATATATATATACCTACCTAATAAATAGTTGCTGCTTGGTTTCCAAAAGAGAGTGCTCGACTGCAGTTAAGCAGGGGCATTATAATTCGAACAATTGAAACAAATCAAATTGGTGGGCAAACTATCCTTTTCATGACATGTATATAATAAAACAATACCAATCATCCGGGCATATTTATATATATCGTTTCGCTGTATATAGTAAGATTCTACGATCAATTTGTTAAATTTTACGTTTCTCCTTTAAGAGGGGAGGGACGCGCTTTTTTGGCGGGGGACGCCAACAGGCAACTGGGCAACATTACGAGCCTTTGTTCTTACTGCTCACTACTTCAGATTGGAAGTTCTATAAAGCATCCCTGATTCGTGAGGTTAACGGTACGGTCATTCGTACAAGAAATGAAGGTTTTCTCGTTGTGAATTTTACTAATAAGAAAAGTGGAGAAACAACAAATGGAACCGTTTGTCCTGGTAACTTTAATTGGTACCACGCAAATACGTTTTGTCGCTACTTTGGAAACGAACAGGGAATGTGGGACAACAAACCGAACAGTTTGAAACTCATATCCGAGTGAGTTTTTTCTCTTTTGTATACCATTAATTTAAATTTGTTATTTTATTTTGATAATTGCTCTGATAATTTGTTATTTCGGTAGATATGCTCTGATAACTTGTTATCTCGGTAGATATGCTCTGATAATAACTAGAACTAATTCAGAGCGTTGTTAAAACATGACAGATCTATCTTCTTGAGTAATGTTAGCTGCAAAAACGTAGAAAATGGAGACGAAAGAAATGAATGTGATGTGCGGATTTCAGCAGCAGACGGTTGCAATAACAACTATATTGTGTGGTTGAACTGCAACAATGGAACAGGTGATGGATTCCTACATTGTGTAAATTCAGGATATAATGAAGTTCATTACATCTTGTTGATTATATTCGTATTGAAATTATGACTATCAGACGTCATTGAAATTTCTGTCACCGGTGGTACAGTTCGAAATTGACTTCATTTTCTGTTTATTTAAGCATAACTAAAAATTGTACAGATATGTGGAATTCTGTGGTATCTGGCAAGATGATACCCATTGATGTGGGGCCGCTTTACTTCAACTTGCACATTAGAACTACCAGTGCTGCTGGTAGTAATGACGAGACAATTATATATTACTATGACGAAAAAGAGGCATACGCAGGAGGTATTTATATCGTGTTCAATTCCACCATAAAGCATGCTGTGTTTGGCTGCAATAACTTCTTATATCCCATTCCCTTCCCGACAAGTCTACCAGCAGAACAGTCCAAACACTGGGTGATAATGAGAGGTGGTCACGGAATGGTAATTTATTGTAATGGAGAGGAGGTACTTGACTTGAAAGTCATGTCCTCTCAAACGTGTGATCCTTCCATCTTTGATATGCGCGGCTATGTATGGGGAAAAGAAGTGAGCAGTATATCTTTTTCCCCGGACCACAATTCTGCTTCAGACTCGTACAACATAGGTTAGTAATTGGGCCGTTGATTTATTAATTAGGAAAGAGCACTATTTCAGTCTTTCAGGAGGTGCTTAGAAATATCGAAACCAGGCAGTGTTTCGTCCGATACTGCAGCTGAGGGCGAATAACCGCGTGTATCATTTAGCTCAGTGATGTCAATGGATGAGAATCCAGCGGTAGGATTAAGTAGTCAGGGTATTTTAATTTCCTCTTTTGAGGAATACGAATCGTCACTAACTTTTTTCATTGTCATTTCAGAGCATAGCTGGAAGTTTCACAGAGCAAATCTAATTAACCTTGTTGAGGGAACAGAGAGATTAAATGATAACGGAGGTCTTCTGATAGCGACAGTTATAAACAAGCAAACCGGGGAAGAGCGAAATGGAACCGTTTGTAAGAACGCGTTTACCTGGTATTCAGCACAGCTTTTTTGTTTGTCTATAGGACATCGCTTCGCAGACTGGGGAAGTTACCCGAGAAACATGAAATACATTTCTGAGTAAGTTTTAACTAATTACACTAATATATATAAGTAATTTCATTGTCCACTGGGAGAATATTTTTAGATAAGCTAACCGAAGCCCTACCGGACAGATTCCGTTAGGTAGGGATAAAATCATACATGAACTTCTGAACATTTTGCAAATATCCATTAAATCACCCAGGAATCGGCTAGATGAAACTGACGTATCAATAACAATGGATAACGTGAGATGTAATGACAATGACACGGATATATCAGTTTGCATTTCTAGAATTATGAGACACAGCTGTCAATATCGAGACAGCATTTGGCTTCGCTGTTTTAATAATACAGGTTTTATTTTTACTTCTACACCAATCTTGATATCTGAATTCATTATATTCAGTATATATTCATTATATTAGGGCAGGTAAGACATGCATTGTCAGTCAGAAGGAAAAATATTGTTAAAGCTGCATGCATAAAGATAGTTTTCTGGATTCGAAATATCTAATATTATAATGATAATTTATCATTTAATCTATAACGTCCCTATCAAACTAAACAATTAGTGCTGAGTAAGCCGTTCCACTAATATTAACAATTAGTGCTGAGTAAGCCGTGCCACTAATTTTAACAATTAGTGCTGAGTAAGCCGTGCCCCTAATATTAACAATTACTGCTGAGTAAGCCGTGCCACTAATTTTAACAATTAGTGCTGAGTAAGCCGTGCCCCTAATATTAACAATTAGTGCTGAGTAAGCCGTGCCACTTATATTAACAATTAGTGCTGAGTAAGCCGTGCCACTAATATTAACAATTAGTGCTGAGTAAGCTGTGCCACTAATATTAACAATTAGTGCTGAGTAAGCTGTGCCACTTATATTAACAATTAGTGCTGAGTAAGCCGTGCCACTAATATTAACAATTAGTGCTGAGTCAGTCGTGCCCCTAATATTAACAATTAGTGCTGAGTAAGCTGTGCCACTAATATTAACAATTAGTGCTGAGTAAGCTGTGCCACTAATATTAACAATTAGTGCTGAGTAAGCTGTGCCATTTATATTAACAATTAGTGCTGAGTAAGCCGTGCCACTAATATTAACAATTAGTGCTGAGTCAGTCGTGCCCCTAATATTAACAATTAGTGCTGAGTAAGCTGTGCCACTAATATTAACAATTAGTGCTGAGTAAGCTGTGCCACTAATATTAACAATTAGTGCTGAGTAAGCTGTGCCACTAATATTAACAATTAGTGCTGAGTAAGCTGTGCCACTATTATTAACAATTAGTGCTGAGTAAGCCGTGCCACTAATATTAACAATTAGTGCTGAGTCAGTCGTGCCCCTAATATTAACAATTAGTGCTGAGTAAGCTGTGCCACTAATATTAACAATTAGTGCTGAGTAAGCTGTGCCACTAATATTAACAATTAGTGCTGAGTAAGCTGTGCCACTTATATTAACAATTAGTGCTGAGTAAGCTGTGCCACTATTATTAACAATTAGTGCTGAGTAAGCCGTGCCACTAATATTAACAATTAGTGCTGAGTCAGTCGTGCCCCTAATATTAACAATTAGTGCTGAGTAAGCTGTGCCACTAATATTAACAATTAGTGCTGAGTAAGCTGTGCCACTAATATTAACAATTAGTGCTGAGTAAGCTGTGCCACTTATATTAACAATTAGTGCTGAGTAAGCCGTGCCACTAATATTAACAATTAGTGCTGAGTAAGCTGTGCCACTAATATTAACAATTAGTGCTGTGTAAGCTGTGCCACTAATATTAACAATTAGTGCTGAGTCAGTCGTGCCCCTAATATTAACAATTAGTGCTGAGTAAGCTGTGCCACTAATATTAACAATTAGTGCTGAGTAAGCTGTGCCACTAATATTAACAATTAGTGCTGAGTAAGCTGTGCCACTAATATTAACAATTAGTGCTGAGTCAGTCGTGCCCCTAATATTAACAATTAGTGCTGAGTAAGCTGTGCCACTAATATTAACAATTAGTGCTGAGTAAGCTGTGCCACTAATATTAACAATTAGTGCTGAGTAAGCTGTGCCACTAATATAAATATATATATTTTCAAAAAGAACTCATCCAGGATGTGATAACGACAATCAGAGGAGTCAAAGTGTACTGTGACAAATATTGGTGGATTTTTGAAGCAATTGTGTTATGATGCGAGTAGAAAAGAGTACTTTCACCAGTGTTCTTATTCGAATGATACATATTCTAAAGAGGACAGATTGGTTGACAGTGAAACTATGAGTTACACACTCTCAAGTGTCTCAACTTTATGCAGGAATGATGCATATGTTTATCAGGCGTGTGGGTTCAATACGAAAATATCAAAAGAAGGAGATTTCTTTTGCGGAGGTTTTTTCAGGGATGAAGCAGGAATTAAAACTTTTATTGAGTGTAACCAAAACTGTGGAAATCATTCTGGTGAGAATACATCACAGAGTAACATCGAGGGAAGCAAGGAAGTTGTGTGTGACAATAATTGTGATATGGAGAACTGTAAAGATGAAAGTTTTTGTGGTGGTCATACATATGGACTTTACTGTGATAGTCAGTATGGTGATTATATTCCGGTACAATGTATTTGTGATGGAGCTGATCATTGTACTCATCAGGAAGATGAGACGTATTGTGATATAGGGAACACGACACTACAAACCTGCCTTCAATACCAGGATAAAAAGTTTGATGGAAACGACAGGACAATCCCCATACTTAACTACACTAGGTGTGGTGTATTTGCCCTTACCTCAGCAGTCATCATGCCAGTATATCCGTACTGTTACGATTATTTAGATCAGACAAACTGCACTGATGTGAATAGAGTGGGTGGTCACTGTCTGATCAATGGTTTCATGTCCAGTGTCTCAAAGTACGTAGTTTGTGGTAGCGAGTTTAAGCAGACCAGTGATAGGATTGATTTATGTGACGATAATCTAGAAAATGAATGTAGTTCACTATCCGATTTAAAAGCAGACTGTATTGTCCATAAACACAAACTCTGTGATGGAGTTAGGGACTGTGTTGATGGTGGTGATGAAACCCTTGATATATGTCACTCCACAACGTTGGGTTATTTGAACTGCAGTCGAAGTTTCAATACTGATAAAAATGTGCCAATACCTATCACATGGTTATCGGATAATCAAACAGATTGTCTTAATGGAGAAGATGAAAAAGGAAACATTGAGTTGAAACACTGTGTAGACGAACAAGAAGGTATTGATAGAGTATACCTGGGAAACGAAACCTGTCGAAATGTTTTTCTGTGTCCTGAAGATTCCAAAAACGGCTATGTCGAGTTTAACTTTCTTTGTGATGGTATAAACTCTTGTGAAGTCGAAAATGAGATCTGCACGATTTCAAGAGATTTCCCAAGTATCAATACGTCTGCAGTCATCAAGAGTTGTGCCGTGCGAGATTTGTGCGAATCAATGGAGGAATCTGCAAATCTAACTTGTAATATTCAGGAATTTGAGGGTCCAGCAGGAAATGCTTTTGGTGTAAGAATAAAAATTAATATCACTACCGCCGAAGTTGACTGCGATTTTCAGTTTGGCGAATATTATGTTTTCTTGAGTTGTATGGGTTTATGTCTAAACTCTACATGTCCTCTTCCGAACACTCCCTTAGACTTTGATTCATGTCCTGGTCAGTATACTGATAGAGTTTTCACCCTTGCTAATAATTCCACTTTGTCTTTTGCGACTGTGTCTGACATGGGTGAGTATGAAAATACATATTTCCAATGTAAAAATACCAAATGTGTAAGGTATAGCCAAGTTTGTGACCTTGTGGATAACTGTGGTGACATGTCAGATGAACGAAACTGTACTAACCATATAGTCTGTGAAGACACAAAAAACCGGACAGATGTGAAAGAGCAGTTGATATCTCGTTCCCAACAGTGTGATGGTAGATTTGATTGTTTTGATCTTTCAGATGAATGCAATCTGTCCTGTGGAAAGGAAATCATTACCAACTGGGCATTGAAGCTAGCTTGCTGGCTGTTGGGTCTTTCAGCAGCAACTTTCAATGTCATCGTGGTGACCAAAATGGGATGTTCCATAAGAGAATCCGAAACAGGGAGCATGATGTGCACCAGGGTTCTCGTCTGTCTAATTGGAATAGGAGATTTTCTTGTAGGAGTCTACTTGATCGTACTATCAGTTTTTGACAGCATCATTCACGGAAAGGAATATTGCTCGAGGCAAGCAGAGTGGTTATCAGGTACTGTTTGTTCTTTTTTGGGAGTGATTAGCACTGCTGGTACACAACTCTCCCTATTTTCGATGCTTGCTTTGAGTTTGATCAGAATGTGGGGAATCATGAATAGTTCTCTGATAGGTCCCACCCGTGTCAATAAAAGAGCAGTAACAAAAGCTGTTTTAATTGTGATCGGAATCGTTACAGCCTCACTATCGGTAGCGATTATACCATTGGTACCATCATTGGAGGACTACTTTGTTCAAGGCTATTTCTATGATACAGACTACAAGCTTTTCATCGGTTTTCCAAACAAGATAAAACACATCAAGACTCTCAAGGCTTACTACAAAAACGACAGTTTCTCTACAGATACCTCTTGGGCCGAGATTGGTGATAAAGTTGACGGAATGTTCACCCAAAAGTATGGACGCTTGAAAAAAAATGCTGTTCACTTTTATGGTAATGATGGTGTTTGCCTTTTTAAATACTTTGTTCGAAGTGACGACCCAAAAAGAAGTCGAACAACATCGGATACAGGAGCGGACATGGTGGACGTTAAAGGAAATATGATAGTCTGGCTAATGCTAGGTGTCAACTTATTCTGCTTCGTCGTGATTACCGTGTCATACTTGTTAATTATCATAAAAAGTCGGAAATCAGCAAAGAGTTCTGGACAAAACAACAATCCAGAGGCTCTCCGTAAAAGCCGGAAAATGCACAACAGGATTGCCTTGATCGTAGCAACGGATTTTGCTTGTTGGGTTCCATTTATATTCATCAGTGGGCTTCATAATCTCGGTTCAATCGATGCTACAAATTGGTACGTCACCTTCGCTATGATAGTGCTACCCCTAAATTCTGTCATTAACCCTTTACTATATGACAACACTGTCAGACAGTTTTTCGATAGAAGTGCCAAAAACTTTGTTTCCGGATCAAAAAAAGTACTTAACGAAGTAGAAACCGTGGTGTCTGCTACTGGTGCTGACTATATTGGAGAGGGAATAGTTGTTGCACCTGCCGAGGATATAATCACAGAAACATCCCTTTAGATGGGAATACTAATTCACTAGGTGAGGTTTTTAGATGTACAATGATTTCGGATTACGTAGCTTCAGTAAATACAGTTGAAAGACATAACATTAACTGCAATAAATTTGAAAGCCATAAAGTATTATCCCGTCGCATAAAAATGTTTAATTTATTATTTTACACATAATAGATATTAAAAAAAGTAAAAATACACAGTTTTTAAAATACTTTCATACACTTAATGATTCAATTATGCAATTTCGTAGCAATCAATTAGCTAATAGATATTTAAAAAAATGTAAAATTTCTGGTTGAAATTATCATCCCACTTTTTTCAGGAAATTATTACGTTCTCCAAACTACCCTATAAAAATGGACAGTACTATCCCTGCTGTTGGAGACCGAATGTAACTCTCTTCTTAAAAGCTACAACGTGATCATCACCAGCAACTGATTATGGAATACAAATGCTTGTTATAAAAGCGTGAACATTGATTATATAATAATTATTATACAGTTTACATTGACATCATGAAAAGGTGTAGGAACGGTAACATCTTCCGTTTGGTTGCACCGCTCTTTAGTGTCTCTCGTTTAATTTTAATCACCCACCTTATTTTTGGGAAGACTCTAAGTTCTAAACATGATGAAACATAGCGACTTAAGTATGAATATCGACTCAGAGGAAATACTCATGACTCTCTACTAGAGGGGTTAATGGTGATGTTTTATGAAGTTTTTGATGGGTTGTGTAATTTCTTGTTATAATTATAGCTTACCTGTTTCAATTCATGGCGATTTATCATTGTTGGTTGATACTTCACTACTTTTACGTGTAATTATTTATATCGTGAAACTAGCGCACTGGCATTCATTTAAATGAAAAAAATGATGTGTTTCAAGTGTGCAATACATGACCAACGATTTAGATACACAGATGGAAATTTTGAATTAACATCAGCATAATTTTTAAGGAAGGCGATTATATTTTATGTATTAATAAACTCAGACTCGATTATTATTGTATCAATTAGTTTGCTATCTGGTTTATTGCTCTGAGGAATTGTTTTACTTTTCTTATCAGACCATTTTTAAAAGTTGTATTAAACCTTCAAAAGTTTAAATAAGACTTCGAAACAGAAGTAAATAGTAATAATAGAATAAATTGGCCGGAGCCTCAAATCAACAACAAAAAAGAAATAGATAATAGTGAGAAAACATGAACATATAAAAAAACAGATATAATTTGAAATTATTCTAAAATGGTGTTAAATTTTTATTAGATTACATTTTTATTTAGAGACTTCAATATTAATGCTTTTCATGCAAACAAGTGAAAACGAATCTTTTATGTCATGTATCCAGGGTTTGGACTGGAATTGCCCGCTTAAAGAACTTCCATCGCGTTATATTACATAATTTTCTCAATAAATGTAATAGATTTGTAGTGTTGTAATTAGTTTAAAACTAATGATAAATCAAACCCTTCAGCCTTCATCTAAAGATTCGTGTTTACAGGTTTTCACAACTTGGTGTCCAACTGCTGGGACACAGACCAAATTCAACTACAAACTGTAGCTGACGTAGTAAAGTTTTTGTTGGGTCTCACTCGGTGTTACGTTCTGCTTGATTTGATTTTATCTTGCTGTATTTACAGTATATTACCCCTCATACCCGGCCCTCGTACCTTAACCCTCGTACCCCTCGTACCTAACCCCTCGTACCGTAACCCTCATACCCCTCATACCTTACCCTTCCTACCCCTCCTACCTTACCCCTCATACCTTACCCCTCCTACCCCTCATACCTTACCCCTCATACCCCTCGTACCGTAACCCGCATACCCATCATACCTTACCCCTCCTACCCCTCCTACCTTATCCCTCATACCTTACCCCTCCTACTCCTCCTACCTTACCCCTCATACCCCTCGTACCGTAACCCTCATACCCCTCATACCTTACCCCTCGTACCACTCGTACCTAGCCCCTCGTACCGTAACCCTCATACCCCTCATACCTTACCCCTCCTACCCCTCCTACCTTACCCCTCATACCTTACCCCTCCTACCCCTCCTACCTTACCCCTCATACCCCTCGTACCGTAACCCGCATACCCATCATACCTTACCCCTCCTACCCCTCCTACCTTATCCCTCATACCTTACCCCTCCTACTCCTCCTACCTTACCCCTCATACCCCTCGTACCGTAACCCTCATACCCCTCATACCTTACCCCTCGTACCACTCGTACCTTATCCCTATTACTTTACCCCTCCTACTCCTCCTACCTTACCCCTCATACCCTCGTACCTTACCACTCATACCCCTCGTACCGTAACCCTCATGCCCCTCGTACCGTAAACCTCATACCTCTCCTGTATACTACCCCTCGTACCCCTCGTACCTAACTCCTCCTACCCCTCGTACCTTACCCCTCGTACCCCTCGTACCTACCTCCTCCTACCCCTCCTGTATACTACCCCTCGTACCCCTCCTATCTTACCCCTCGTACAATCTTTGCTTGTAGTTGTCTGTTCAGGAGTATTATCGCTCAGTTTCGTCATGACAACTCTGTGAGGATAAGTATAGTAAGCTGTTAACACTGTTATCACTTCTGTGTCGAGCACTTCTCGAGAAAACGGCTATAATTGAAAAATGTCATGTTTATTCTCGAAGTTAACTTTCTACTGGATCACTCATCCAAATAGTTAAAATTATTTTTGTACAGGTCCTTGGAGATATGCAAATAAGGCTAATTGATTTTTGCGCGAATCTCATTCGCGCAAAGAATATTACTAAAATAAAAGCGCTTACCTGAGAATTGATGAGTAAAAAACTGTTTGGGCACTTGACAAACTTAAGTCAACACGATTGCTTAATGTTCCTGTGTTCCCGGTTATTATACTTATGGTCAAGGATGTGATTAAGGCAATATATGGCTAATGTTGTGGTGCTGGGGTTTTATTGGGACCGTTTTGTTTGGTTATAAAATCATTAAAACTGTTTTGAGAAGTGAGTTACGCTGCAGGATTTAAACCGTGTATTCTGAGTTCTGAGTTCTGACGATGGATTAATAATCATGTCGGTACAAAGAAAGTTTGGTTGCTACAAAGCGTTGGTGTTGTTAATATTATAATAATTAATAACTGTTGTTTTAAAAATTTGGGACAAGAATTAACTTGGTGTTAATCGATCTTGTCTAGACATAGCTTTTCACTGCTCGGTGAATTGCATCATGCTTATTGATGAAAATTAACTACATACAACTACAAGGAATAATTAAGTATTTTAATAGCACTACTAGTTTGCTGAAACTAAAAGTTAACTTGAAGTATTCGTATACTATTACTGGCTTATCTCATCGTCTACAATTTAAAAGTCTGCTTGGTTCGACTGTACAGTTATATATTTAAGTGATAGAATAGTAAACTGGTTTTATATCGACACTGAGAAATAATCGCAATACTGCACAGTTTAATTAGATATGGTTTAAGTACCCCAGGATGCTTATATAAGTTTATATTCTGATCCTCTATCATATTATTAATTTTATCATATTTTGAATTAATCAGATTGGTGGCTCCTTCAGCTAAGTGGCTGTATGAATTATAATTTCGACGTTAGGGCATTATTAATATTATCGAATAACAGAATTCCCAATAATATGGAATATATTAGGATGCAGCGAAACTGTCGGACTACGATGAATGGAGACTTGCCACACCATGGCAACATTAGAAAATATCACCTAAGTATATAATTTCTACGTCAACGAAAATACTTTTTACGTCAATTATCGGATAGGAGTAGCTCCGGCCTCCGACACTCTTGCCATGTAATAAATTTTCAAATACATATTTACATACATTTTATGTAATAATATAATATTATAGTAAACATTAACCATGATTAACATGGTATGCTGCAAGAAAGCTGGTCTCTCCTTCAGAGACCGGCTTTCTTGCAGCATACCATGTCGTATCAAGTTTTTATCGTCTCTCCTTCAGAGACAGGCTTTATTTCAACATACCATGTCGTATCATGTTTTTATGGTCTCTCCTTCAGAGACCGGCTTTCTTGCAGCATACCATGTCGTATCAAGTTTTTATCGTCTCCCCTTCAGAGACAGGCTTTATTTCAACATACCATGTCGTATCATGTTTTTATGGTCTCTCCTTCAGAGACCGGCTTTCTTGCAGCATACCGTGTCGTCTCTCCTTCTTCAGAGATAGGCTTTATTTCAACATACCGTGTCGTATCATGCTTTATCGTGTCTCCTTCATCAGACACAGGCTTTCTTTCAACATACCGTGTCGTTTCATGCTTTATCATGTCTCCTTCATCAGACACAGGCTTTCTTTCAACATACCGTGTCGTCTCTCCTTCTTCAGAGACATGCTTTATTTCAACATACCGTGTCGTATCTTGTTTTATTGTCTCTACTTCTTCAGAGACATTCACTATTTCAGTCAAGGTATTTATCCTTATATTTATTATTGGTTTTAAAAATTTTTAAATTCAAATTTGTATTTTATTTATCAGTTTAATTTGAAGCACACTTGGACAAATAGAGCCTCCCATTTTGTTATTATTATCTAGATAGGTGATAGGTACCATGGACACTGGATCTCAGCAACTTACAGAAGATACTACCTGTCATCATAATAGAGTCTAATGAACTCTACCCACAGGTTAGTCAGGCAGTGGATCACACTCTGATGACATCTCCTTTTGGAGATTTTGGACTCTCAGACTACCTATACTAGTTGAGTGTGTTCCATAACCTAGCACCCTGCCTAAACGTTCGGTACTCCTGGACCTATGTGGCAAGCCTGCTCCCTGAACAAAAAAAAAAAAAAAAAAAAAAAAACATTAACCAGTTTACCATATAAATTCTATTGCTGGACCAATTTAATTCCGTTGAAATCGCAAATTTACCGGAATTTTTAAGATCTGGAACTTGAAGGATGGGAACAATTCAAATAAGTAAGCATTGTACAACTAATGTCTTATATCCGGCATTAATGCGTAATTTCCCAGCCATGGTGCAATTCAAATACAGTCCGGGATTTGAAATTTTACTGAATTTAAAACGATCTCTTTAAGGCCTCTATTATACAGCCGTAAGAAATAATAAAAATCGCACATTTAGCTACGACACATCATAAGTTTGCCTCTTTAAGTTTATGTTCCAATATACTGATACACTATACAGTCCGATTCTGATTCTACGGTACGGTTTCTTCTTCGTAGGGGGCTGTGGTCATTGGAGCCCCAAGTGCTTACCCCGGTAAAGTATTTATAAGTGGAAAAAGTTAAACTTTGTTCTTTCCACATTTGTAGAACCGTTTAGTCCACTATGTCTGTCACACTAAGGTAGAAGGAGTCAAAGTATCCTCCTCGTTGGAAAGACCATTCCGGGCACTGACCAATAATGTGGTTCATTGTCTCCTCTTCCATGAGACAGTGTGGACAAGTTTTAGGGATAGTTGTCGGCTTGAACTTGTTAAGGTGGTAGTTTAATTCGCAATGTCCAGTAAGGAATTGTGTCGCTGTTCTTGTGCTCTCTTTACAAAGTTTCGGGATTGATCTGGCGAACTTGTGTCTCCATATACTCGTTTGAAATGAGTGTTAGGCAACGTTCTCTATCTTTCCCTCACGGTACGGTTTAAATACATTCATAGTTAAACCTCTTTTTTTTCAGTTCCTTTAATTAACCGGGCATGTTTCGGTGTTTCCTCTCGCCCTCGTCGTGTGTAAATCTTACTATATATATAAAGAGAGACGATATATATGGATAAATCCGTGCCATTTTACTGACACCACGACATCAACTTTAACGCGACTTTCCGCAAAAATCGTAAAAGATATACAACTGAAGCTTAGCGACCTCTTTCCCTCGGGTTATGACGTTATCTAATAACTACACTAGGTTCTCTTATTTATATTATGATGTCTGGGAGCCCAATATTCTCTAGTTTAACCTAAGAGGACGTCTTGAGCTGATTTCAGGACTTAAGAGGTGCCTCATTAGTCAGGGGCGAAGTGGACACTTG